ATTACGGCTAAAACAACTTCAAAGGGAACACCCAAAAGCTAGACACGAAACCCGAGGTAAATAAAGAATTCATGGGAAATCTCTCCTTACAATTTCGCAATAAAAATGTTTTGTTTTGTTTTGAAAGTAAAAACAAAATGAATCTATTTCCAGTTCAATGAGCTTGTTTAGCTCTTAGGGGGGAAATTTCTTCAAAAGGAGTTGTGAATTCTTTTTGTATTTAAAATCATTCTGTAACTGAAAGATGATTAAATTTAGTTTTAAGCTTGTTTATGAAAAAGTCAACTAAATAAAATAGCGCAAGACTTAAGCTTAATTTGCATTTGTAAACAAAAACTATTTCACCGGTTTTATCGATAAATTCAAGTCAAAAAGACAAAGCTTTATCTGTTAAAACTTTCAAACCGAACTTCGTCACCTTCTTCGTGCATTTCGGGAACAGCTTGTTGGATTAGTTGTGAAATTTCTTTGTTTGTTACGGCAGAAAACCGAGAAGACATTTTGCTCCCAACTTTATACGCGAGTTCGGCGTCGCTCGCTCGGAGGAACTGAAGGTGAATCAGTGAATAGTGCAGGATATTCACTGATTGAGTAGCCAATCAGAGCGCACGAAAAACACTATCCACTGTTTTAGTATATACTAAATGATTTTATCAGCTTGAAAATCTATGAATAACGAAAAGAAGCAAGGCTGAAATCTAATTGCCAATATTTCTATGGTAACGGTCTTTCCTCTTCAGGGTCTTACAAAGCCCCCAAAAATCTAAGCCCCCGCCGTAAATTTATCGGTCCTCCGCCCCCAGTAATTAATGCCGGACCACTCCCTTAACTTTTGTGGTCAGTTTATTTTCAGTCAACGTTTTCTCGACGTTGAACGACACGTAAAAATAGGAGTTTTTCTGCAAGTAAAACAAGCCCACTCGAAAACAAAACAGAAGACTGGTTTTTGCGGCAGGGATTAAATTACCGGGCATATGCTGTCCTTCAGGCACTTTGTCCACAATGTTCTGCTTAAAATGTACACCCCTCAATAAAAAAGGCAGCTTACTTGAAGTAAAATGGAAAAGAAAAAAATGAAGAAATCGATCCACGAAAGTACTTTATTCTCTCTCTGGTATATAAGGTGCACCTCAAAACAATTATTAACTACTTTATGGTATATGATTCTCAGTATTTCGCTTGTAGAGATGAAGTTGTTCGTAGGGCGAACCAAACATAAGTAGGTAAAGATAAAAGTTCGTGGTACGACATCTTCACTCGTTGATATTAAAGCTCATTCGTCCTCTGCACTCTCTCCATTGTTTTCAGATATATGATAAATGATGGGAGAAGTGCCTGACCAGTGTGGAGTCTCGGATAAAAGAAAACTAATGTCAAGTTGGGGACAAGATGTTCGAGCAATAAAGTGCTGATTCAGCTGATTTCAGAAAGATGAATTGTTGACATACAAAAAAGGGTGTCAGTAAAACGCGGGGTCAGGGTCGCGGTCTATCTTTTTTCGAAAGAATGCTGTTTTAGGGTAAGGGTTGACACTAACCCTAACCCTAACCCTAACCCTAAAGCAGCATTCTTTGGAAAAAAAAAAAAAAAAAAAATGATAGACCCCGACCCCGATCCCCACCCTCACCCCGACCCGCGTTTTCCTGACACCCATAAAAATATCAACAGTCCATCTCCTATCATGATAAAACAAGTTAAAACAAAACAACTAAACCTGCAGTCCCCACTTTATCAAAGAATTGTTAAAATGGCCACCGGTGTTTACAAAGCTATCCATGGGTACAAAGTCCCTAGACGAATAGGAGAGTTATTGCATGAACGATCAACTAATTATAATCTTAGAGGAAAACACACTCTCGACCTACCCAAAGTAAATACAACCACCTACGGACTTAAATCGCGGCGTTATACTGCTGCTAAGATTTGGAACGCTCTTCCAGATCAGTTTCGTGCCGCAAATAATATCGGAACATTTAAGAACTTAATGTCTAAGTTGGATTTCTCAAATTTTACATTTTAATCGCGCAAATACATGTCAATACATCTTGCTTAGTTTTAACATCATTATGTAATAATCTCGTGATCTACTCGTGGTTTAATAATTCTTAACTGTATATATACTTTTTATATAGGTTTTTATGAGAAATCTTCTCTGTCTATTATTATTTCTAGTTTATTTATTTATTTTTCGTGGCATGTCTGTAAAGTAGCTAATTAGCTAAGAACACTGACCACGTTAAATAAAGGGTATTGTATTGTATTGTAAGTTAATTAATTAAAAGTTTATCCTAGCAGTTTGCATAGAACCTAAGACAGTAATGCACGAAAATGACGCATTTAGCCCAGTAAACTTTAACTCAACTCGTGAGTAGAAACTGTGCGAGAGCATTTTCCATTGATTAAGTAATAAATATATATTACTCGGCGAGTCACCAATTTCTATGGTTTTATAATTAGGAAGTTTTGTTTAATTTAAACCACACGCTGTTTGCGTTTGACGTCTGAACGTCTGACGCTGGTAAACGAAGTAAACCTTGTGATGGAATGCTTTAACAGATTCCCTCTCCCTAAAGTTTAAGTCATTTAAAAGTCTATTTTAGGGATAGGGAATCTGTTAAAGCATTTCACAACAATGCCTACCTCGCTTACCTGCCAGTCTGCAGTCTGCGTTTGTCGCACATCGACCAACGGTGAATTTTGCTTCAGTTTCTCTTGTAACTTGAGCCTAGGGTACAGCATGTAGTACAGCTGATATTCATTGCTACATTGTATGTCTGTCTGGATTTCATACAAGGTGCCTGTACTGAGTCTCTAGACGGCGAAGTCCAAGGGGCAACTACGCACCCTCCCCACCCATGAAGCTTATGACTGGTCAATCATTTCCCCAAGCTCTGCTAGTAGTGTTATGACGATGAGTCACCTCATTGATTTGGCTGGCGTAGGCCACAGGATAAATTCTCTGACTTTGCACTGCTTTCTGACAAAAATCTCTAATCAAAGTGACAAAATCCCCCCTCCTTACCCCTCTGGTTTTTACATAAAACAAGGAAGCCACCCACCAACGGATAGGTCTGAGCCTGGGCTCTCTGCTGACACCTAGCAAGACGCCAAGCCCTTTGGTTTTTTTCCCGGCCACAGGCGATGCTCGTGTTCAAGCGAAAACTTTTAGCAAAATCCCACAAATATATACACCCAGATTTTCAGAAATGAATCGACGGTCATGATTCGACACTAATCAGGTGACGTATGGCTTCGCAGTACGTAAACGGTTGTAAAAATAAAGGCAGGCGAGGGGAGAAACATCTTGCAGGCAAGGACAGCTTAACACCAAAAGACAGTACGTGTCACAATGTTCGGTCCTCGACCTCTGACCCTAGTGAGGTCAAATTTTGCAAAACAGATAAAGAAAACCTTACATAAAAGAGAGTAACATTTGTTTTTATTGAAATAGGGTAAAATATATAATTTCTTTAAAGATCAAGGTAGAAGCCTAACACAAAAGGTTAAGAAAAGAGCCAAAAAACTTATAGGTCGAGACGACACGCGCGATAAGATGTATCGCGATTAGATTGCGTGACTTGTGTGAGAGACTGTTGTCTGAAAACGAGAACAAATTTTCGATCACGGGCCTCTTTTTCTAAATTACAAGAGAAACATTCAAGCTATTATCAAAGTAAAATTCAGATTTTGTGCTTTGACTCCGGCCGGTAGGATATTCAAATGTACAATTTGGAAACCTCTCGGTAGAATCATCAATCAATCAATTTTTTTATTTGGCCTTTCACATACTTATTACTGAATAATATAAGATAATATAATACCTGGGCAGGAGCTCTCAGGAAACCCTTTTGGGCGTTAGGAGGAGAACCCCTGAACAAGTTTACTACAATGATTTATTTTGAAGATTATGAAAAGGATAAAGCTGTGTTACGAGGATTATAGTAATTGGCGAACCTACTTAGAATAATTATTCATGTAAATACGTTTGTATAGTCAACTTCTGATTTTCTTGCTAGTGGAGAAAATGCGTTTTAATTTTTTTGCCTGATAAACTGAATGTTTTAATTTCTTTTATAGATTTTGGCAAGTTATTCCATATTGAAACTCCTTTTTATTTCACTGAGTGTTTTTGGTAGTTAGTTCATGCTTGGATTTTGTGAACGGTAGAGGATGATCTTGTGTTGTATAATGAACATCTTTGTTCAGACAAAAGAAATCATTGAAAGATGATGGTAGATTGTTGTTGAAGTAACGAAACTTGAACAAAGCAATGGCTTGATTGTTTATATCATCTAAAGGTGAAATCAATAGTTCTCTGAAGAGAGGACAAGTGTGTTCTTTAAAGTTTGAAAAAGTAATGATCATTATAATTTTCTTTTGTAGCCTTCTTGTTGGTTCTAGTCTTGTTGTGTAAGTATTTCCCGATACAACGTTACCATAACTTAGGTATGGGTAGATAAGTGCATAATAGAGACCCTCCGTAACAACGCGAGGTAAATAATGTCTTGCTCGACAAAGCATACCAGAAAGTTTTGCAATTTTGCTGCAAACATCTGAAACATGACTTATATGATTTTTCCAGTCAATATTTTCGTCTATGAGTCTTTTTTACATTAAGGGACAATTTGGTAGTCTTGAACCAATCAGAAACATTCTTTAGTTCTTCATTAACAGTTTTTGTATTGTTGTTTGAGCAGAACGAATGACCGTCGAATCATGTCATGCCAAAATCCGGGTGTATACATGTATACGGCACTGAAATCAGCTGTAAACTTTTTAACGAGTCCTGATCTCTCTTGTCATTTGTCATTACACAATCAATATTACTGAGATATTCTTGAGTTTGTAAAAAGGACTGGGCAAGCCTGAACAGCTGCCAGGCTGCGCTAAGCCTGTTTTTGAAAACGAGAGTCAGTGCGTGGTCTCTGGATATGAAAATAATTTTAGTCGTGCAAATGTAACTAATTTTTATATGAAAGGTTTGTACTTTTAAAGCGGGAGTTTTCAAGCTCCGAAATGCCCTAGGCGAATTTTTACTCTGCAATTTCTTGGGCATATCAAACTGCAAAGTTGACCTTAATGAAAGAACGAGGGCATATGCCGGGATCAACACATGCTGAGATACGTGCTATTTATTTCCTTATGTTTCAGTATAACGGAATACAAGCTGTGAGAAATGTGTAGAAGTTGAACTACGAATAGTAGACGTTTTATACTATCTCATTTAGAGCCGCTTGGACCTCCAGTGTAGTAGCTATTTTTGATGACAGTCTCACAGGAACGGGGGCTAAATTCTACCATCATTGTTTCGTCTAAATGGATGTCGTCTATGCGTATTTCATACGGTATGTCATCTGCGCCGAAGCCTCCGCACTTGAACATTACTTCGTTCACTAAAAGGTAAAATCAGTTTGTTATACACACAGTTTTGCTTGAGATATCTTGTCGCTAGTGAAATGACAGATCGTCTGCTATTGAAGATTGCATTGGGTGGGGGACAAACTTGAGTTATAACTAATTTCATGCGGAAAGATTGCGTCTCTAATAACCTTTTAATTAATAATTAATTGTTCCTATTGAATGATTATGCAGGCATTGCAATGTACTGTAGATATAAACGAAAGTAGCGCAGTAATAGAATTAGATATCATACAGTTTACAAATATCGGTATACAGATAATATAATTCAATGGAGTATCATAAACAATTATTGAATTAGGTTTAGTATTACAGTCGACTCTCTCTTAACGGACACCTCTATAAGACGGACACCTCCCTAAAACAGACACCTAGAGTTGGTCCCTGCCTTTCTTTACTCCCTTTATTTGACTCTCTATAAGACGGACATCTCTCTAAGACGGACACTTACTGCCGGTCCCAAAGGTGTCCGTCTTAGAGGGAGTTGACTGTATATGAGGAATTATGTAGATCGAGGAGGGTGTTATCAATTATCCACCGAGGCCGAGATCTGCATAATTTCTCATATCATACGAGAGCCAAGTTCAATACCGTAAAATTCCGAAAATAAGCCCCTCCAAATAGAAGCCCCACAAGCCGGTAACGCAAAAAAACCTCCGTTAAATCGCCCCTCCAAATATAAGCCCTCCCCGGGGGCTTGTACTGGGAAAATTGCCCTCAAATACAAAGTAAATTTACTGCCAACTATAAGGCTAGCCCAATCGATTTTGAAACGCAAATTTCCCTCCGTAGATAAGCCCCTTCAAAATTAAGCCCCTCAAAAAGGGCTTCTGAAAAATATAAGCGCCCGGGCTTATTTTCGGAATTTCAAGGTAATTCTTCTGTTATTCATTCAAAATATTTGTAAGTTCTTACCAACCCTATCTCCGTCTATACTTTCTTCAAAACATTTGCCTGTTCCTCGCACGGCTTCAGTACATAAAAAGATGTTTTTTGTCGCAGATACTACTCAAAAAAGTAGATGACATTCATCGACCAATATGTTTTTGTGTACTCTTGCATTTCTTCCCTTCAGATTTAGTCAGAATTCCGACTTTATTGTCTTCGGATAGCAATGAATACTTTGGTCACTTTGTTGAGTTCACTCATGCCTGGAAACGATTTGCCATTTTATATTTGGGCAATGTTATGTAACATCATTAGTGACCGCTGGCTAGTCTCGAAATAATTTCAATTAATAAAAGTATAAAGCTATTCGAATTTGACGAAAAAAACTACAATATAATTTGAAATTCGATATCGTAACATTAATTACGCTGGGGCCAAACCATCACTCAAATCGGTCATTTAGGCTAAATTTACGTAACTTTTACATTTCTTTTCATTTCTGGACCAATCGTGCCAGATAGACTTCGATTGTTGAACAGGTAATTTTATTTTTTTGTTTGACGCAAAATGTCAAATTATGACGTCATAAGGGCTGACGTCATCAAAATTGGTTAAATAATTTTTTTAATTTTAAAGTCAAACTGAGGGCGCTTTCCATTTGTCAAAACTGGCCGGACGGAAAAACTGAAATTAAATAAAATAGGCTTTTTCCAAGAGTTTTTGCTGAAAAATGTTCTCCTTTGTGCATACTATTTAGGATTTGACTGATCTGTCTGGAGAGTTTTGATTAAAAGTGAAATTATCAGTGCGATGGAAATGGTCTGGCCGGTCAGTTCTGACAAATGGAAAGCACCCTTATATCATCCAAAAGAGAATTAGAAGGGGAGTAAAACGCTGAAAACCGTTTCTCGCTACGACACGTAGAAATCGAGTTATGGGATTTTAAAGATATTTCAGTGCACCCGGAACCATACTTTTCCTTAAAAACGAACCCTTTGATTTTGACATTTTAATGACGTCATAAAACTGTTTTCTTGGTTTTTGTCCAGTTAGGAATTTCCTTTTTCAAAATTTTCTTTTTCCTTTAGCTTTCGAAGATAAAGATGTCTTATGTTTATATCAAATGGTAATGGTGACAAGACAATAAAACGCTTAAGTTAAGACTTATTTTACTTTGTAGTACGAATTTATGCAAACTGAAATGTCATATCTCAGCTCATATATAAGATATTCCAAATTTTTTTTCAGGTTTCATCTCTCCTTGAATATCTCTTTTAAAATTGATAAACAAAAATAGCAAGATTTTAAAGTTTAAAATTTAAGTATGAATGACGTACGCAATTGTGACGTCATATTTTGACATTTTGATGTCAAAATACATGCCAATTTGATTGGCTGGATATTTTGTACTTTCAGGCCAAGTTTGTTAAGGAAAGAGTTAGAGCTAACTAAGTTATTGTAAATTAACCAAAGAATTAACATCTTCAATGGCGTGCTTTGGAGGTGCGACTTGATTAGATCTGTTTCCTGGAGTTAGTCTTAAAGGAGGGCGTGGTCACCTATACTCCACTATCAGATCTAAGATTGTAAGCACTTTTTGCCTAAAGTTAGACCAGCTCCCCGATATATTAGCTGCCGCAGCAAGGACGTTTATTCCAGTTTAATACTTTTGTGGTGCCTGATAAGTGGTAATTCAGTTTGAAGGAAAAAAAGAAATAGATTAATTTAGCAGTGTTAAGGAATAATAGTAGATTGGATTGACAACCGAAACACAGAGATCTGTGCTTGGAATTCCATTGGCAGATGCCCCACGTGCATCAAAGAGGGAAAGAGAGAAAGTAATTTCTTCACCATTGGAAATTCCAAAGAAAAAGAGATTGCAAAGTAAAATTTAAAGATTTTAGATAATACCCCAATTTACAGTTACAGGTAAAAACGAGGCTTGAGTTGTCGTTGTTTTGATAAAACCCCTTTTGCTATGTAAGTCCTATACCCTATGTAAACAATTCATATTGTTATTTCGCTGACTAGAATTTCTTAAGCTCAATTTTTATAAGGATAGAAAAGGTGTTGTCGCCTTTTCGCTGTTCTTCAAGATTCATTATTTAATTCTCAGTGTCTCAGTATTCTAACAGTTCAAGTTAATTAACATTCACCCATCGAAATCGGCTCGCCTCTTCCACTTCTACATATCGAGGAGTAATAGTGTTATTTACAGAATGATTCGCTGAAAAAGGAAACACCCAAATATCTTGATAAGAAATTCGTTCAAAGGATGAAAAAACTCTTAGAAAAATCTACTCACACTAGCGTGAATTATCTCCGGGTCTTCGTTTCTAAATCTGAATTCTTCTGTTCATGTCCACTGCTAGCTCAAACTGAATTTTAAAAACAGCGCTTGAATGCAAAATTCCCTTAGGGAATTTAAGGGACGCGTTGCTTTCGGCAACGGGGATTTAATTTATAACAAAAGGGTTTTGTATCAAAACAAGGTCAACCTCATCCTGACGTTCACTCAAAGGCTAGGATACTTAGCCAACAACTGTAAAATGATCTATTGAGATTTCTTATGTGACGATTGCACTTTTCTCAAGGCAAAAAGATAGACAAGACCAAATAGCAGTGATTTCGTCAGCAAATGAGACTCCTATCTTTCAAGGCAATTATGGAGGGTGACCCTGAACAGGTCAGAGTATCCGGAGATATGTTCCATCAACAGATATTTCCTGAAGAAAAAAGATAAAAAGAGGAACAAGAAGAAGGCCCCAGCTGCCAAGAGGTTCATTAGTATCCGTCAAGAAGGTTTCATTAGAAATGTGTGACTAGAAACCAAAGCTGTTATGTGGAGATGAGATGAACAGAATAAAGTGTGCGTATGAAAATGAATGTTGTAAAAATTTGAGAACGTACAGGTAGCATAAGATGGGCCAAAAGTTCTTCACCTTACTCCTCTCATGACCCCGGAAAAAGCATAGTAAAAGAGCTTGAAATTTTGAAACAAGTTTCTGATGGTGCGAGGCAACACAATATGGAAAAAGAAAAACATTATTCAACTTCAGCAACAATTTCCACCTTTATACTACATATATTTTCCTTCCTTGCTTCATTTGACAGCAGGAAAAGGTTGCCAATAATGGAAATAGAGACAGACAAGTAGACATTTCCCGGGCGTGATATGTTTATGCTATTCATGCTGCTTTGCTCATAAATGTCTTGCGGAATACAAAAATATGATCATTCAAGCAAAAACTGTAGACTGCCTGGATGATCCTCAAAGGAAGGGTCTAGGAATATTTTTTATCTTTCGACGTTATCGATATTGTAACGAGCAAAGGTGGCGTAGTGATGGCAGTACACCATCCCCACTGCTACCTCAGTAATGTGACACAGGTTTGAAGCTCAGAGGGTGGGTCGAGTGTATTGTTGGTTCTCGCGGTTGCTCAGGAGAGGTTTTCTCCTGGTATTCTACAGTTTACGTTACTCTCCAGTTTTTCGCTTTCGTCTTTAGCCCAATTTTATCCGGAATGAAAGACGAAGAACACCGCTGTGGATTTACGACCACCAAACCGTTATTCGCCTTAACCACAAATGTATTTACTTATTATTTAACATCATGTACTTGGTATTCATGCCATTTTTCAATCATTATTTTCTTTACCTGCACTTTCTGGGGCATCAAAATCTGTTTGTGTGCTTTTGCAGGTAAAAGAGGTATGTCGTTCTTTAAGCACAGGGCTTGCGCACGTCAGGCTGTGACTATGAGCACGCGGTCTGCCGGTAGCAGCGGCATGCAGAGAGGAGGCTTGGAGGATTCCTTCTTCCTTCATAAGGAATTGGTAGATCTAAAGGTAAACGTAGTGGGTGATGTTTTAAAATGAAAAACGCAGATTTTCATTAACAATGCTGGTTACTTTTACGAAGTTTACAGTAAGACGTCACGGCATGGTAGAGTTAGTGGTGGTGGTGGTGGGGGCAGTGGTATTGGTGGCAGTGGTAGTGGTAGTGGTAGTGGTGGTGATAGTTGCAGTGGTGGTGAAAGTGGTGGTGGTGGTGGTAGTGGAAGGGGCAGTGGGGGGCGATGGTAATGGTCGTGGTGGTGATAGTAGTGGTAGTAGTGTTGGTCATAATGGCAGTGATAATGGTAGTGGTAGTGGTAGTGGTTGTGGTTGTGGTGGTGGTACCAATAGTGGCAGTGGTGGTGGTAGTGGTACTGGTGGTGATATTAGTAGTTAGTAATAGTAGTGGCAGCAGTAGCGACAGTAGCAATAGCAGTACGAAGCGGTATCAGCGGCACAATTATGTTATGACTTACCTTTGGAACAAATACCAATAACAGCGTAACTGTAGTACAAACAATAAGACAGAGCGAGGAAATGGCATAAGGAGCTTCGTAGTACATGGATCCATCCAGTGCAATGGCCACAATAGCACCGATAATGGACAACACAACAACATTATAAACAGACATCCCAATGTACTTGGAGTCATTTAAGGCAGGAATTGTGACATTGCGTGTCTCCCAGGCTAGGAAAAGCCCAAATAACAGAAGTATTCCTTTGTAGGCAAATAGGACTGCCAGAAAATAGGTCTTGTATTTGCAGGTGCACTGGTATAAAGCCGGAATGATGATAGTGTCTTGTTCCTTTCGGCTCTATGGATAAAAAATGGCATGAAAGTAATCATGCTTTAAAATATTTGTTAGTTAAAGGTACGCCTATATGAATGAGTAGTATATGAATGAGTAATGAGTATATGAATGAATGAATGAATGAAATAAATGGATGAAAACTTTTACTTAAGCTATGTCAATCCATCAGGAATTAAAAAAAAAAACAAGAAACAAGTATTATAGTAAAAAAGGTTTTCAGCCAGCCCTGAAAGCCCGAAGAGAGTTTGCCTGCCGTAGCTCAGATCAGTAGAAAGGTTATCCGTTCTAAGAAACAGGAAAGAAACAACCTAATAGGAGCATCCAAAGCTAGAGCTCCACGAGCCTATTGTACCCCTGCAAGAATGAATAATGATAATATGACCTTGGAGTTTTTTCAAGGAGTGGAAGCTGTTAAACACCAAGGTTATATCGTGATCAATAGTTTACGCGAAAAGTTAAAACGACTCAAAAGTTCCTACCAGTTCTTCGAATTTTAATTCTTCAGCTTGGAATGGGTCGATAATAATCCAACAGGACAAGAAAATAACATCCACTGTTAACAATACTGCTACGATAGCAAGGAGATGAAGATCCTTTATAGCCTGTTATAATATAATAGAAAACAGTGTTTTACGAAATTATTCCCGTTAAAGATTCATTCGATTAAGAACATCATAGAAGTTAGTATACATACTTTCTAAAGCTTTAACTACATTTTATGCATTGGTGATTACTTTTAGCATTGGGATGTTAAAGAACCGTTCATGCTTCATTTCAGATTGCTGGGTTTTAATTGTTTATCTCACCATATCATTCTACCCAATTGTAATTTGTCGAGGGACGCAAGTAAAGTATGTTGCTGTAAGAGAAAAACAGTGCATAGAACACTAAAGCTAATATTTTTTATGAAATTTCCTAAATTAAACAAAAGGTCTAGACAACGATAGCTAGGGTTTCTTTTGAGGTTACTTTACACTAGTTGAATGCTCGTATTTTAATCGTGGAGTATCCATCTTGAATTTTCACCCAATTCAAGGTGAAGAGGTCAAGGTCAAGAGGTCAAGGTCAAAAGAAGCCTTTAACTGCCATATAATTCGCAAACACCTAGACCGAACTGCAATAAAGAGTGGACCACATCGTACCATTTTCTTGAGAGTCTTGGCCGCTGTGAATATCTTGTGAACTCGCCATGTTTTGCTGAACATTGCACCGAAGGATAAGGAAAATCCGATAGACAGCACTGCAGCTCGTGCCTGTTGGTAAGAATCGAACTCATTTTATTAATAAATCCAAAACTTTACATTTTTTTGCTCATTTTCTTCTTTCAAAAATACCGGAAGGAATAGAATGAGTAGAAATATAACTGCTATCTTAAAGGCTGACCCCCTTTACTCCGGCCCGGACAAAGTTTTGAACGGACAAACACTTGTGAAATCGGATCTGCCTTTCGTTTACAAGTGACCTGCGGCAAGGTGCGCAACTTGACCTGACAGGAACGGTTCCACTGTTACACGGACTCGTGTAAACACCTGAACTGTGCAAGTTTTTGCACAGTTTGTGCGGTAGAAGCCGGGTATCAGTAAAACGCGGGGACGAGGTCGGGGTCGGGGTCTGTCTTATATTCAAAGAATTCTGCTTTAGCGTTAGGATTATGGTTAGGGTTAGGGTTGACACTAACCCTAACCCTAACCCTAACCCTAACCTTAACCCTAACCCTAAAACAGCACTCTTTTAAACAAAAAGATAAACCCCAGCCCCGACCCCACGTTTTACTGACAAGCCTGAAGCCGCCTGAAGCCTAGTTACGCGCCGTGATAAAAAAAAAGCCATTCCAATGCTGCCACCGGCAAAAATTTGTTTGAAAACTACTGTAACATGCACAGATTTGGCACGGTTCCGTGTTAACAGGTTGCACAGGGAAAAAAATTAGTCCGTTCAAAAATTTGTCCGGACCCGTGTTAACACCTGTCTTACCGGGAATTCTACGTTAGCCGCCTTAGTACATTGTTCACCAAATGAAGGAAAGCTTTCTCTTGAAATGTTACAGCTATTTTATACGTCAGAAAAGGGTAGACTCTTGCTCAAGAAAATGCTCGTTAATAATTAATTTCCTTACGTTGCAGTTGATGCCATAACCTTGCAAATCGAGAAACCTCGCATCCAAACCCAACAAAACAATGGAGGCGTAGCACAGGATGCATCCCATAATAATAATATTATTAAGTTTAGGCGACGACATCTTGATTATCCTGACAAAATGAAAATAAAAGATGTAAATATGCAAAGAGCTCTAATATTTAATGCAAGTTGAGATTAGAGATCGGAAACAATTTAAAAAGGCTTTTGCTTGAGAATATGTTTTGTATTGGAAAAGGTCAGAAACAGCAAGGTTAAAGTCCTACCTGTTTTTACCTTTACTGATGTTAAAATATAGAAAGCTCAACGAGCAGATGATGCCGATCGCTGCCATGAACCACATTATGACGATAAGTGGTAAGGGACTCATCATCAGCTCAATTTTTCTGCTGGTGTGATCCTTCGGTGGTCGATTGTCTGAAGGAGAAATGCAAAAGATGAAATCAAAAAGAGTCCAAAACCAAAACCACGCGACGGCGTTTCTTGTAACATGGAACAATGGAGACTTTTACTCTACTTTCTCTGGCATTAAGTAATTGCTTAGAACAATGCTTGAAATTAGAGAAATCTCACCGTAGCAGGCGTTCATAGCCCCAGCTCAAGCTGCAGGTCAGCCTCCTGTTTATCCATAGATAAAGGTCGTTTCTAACAAAATTCGAGTAGTACTATATATGGGCACGCAACAGAAACGTCTTGGGCCAGTAACAATGTTATAAACTTAGGAGGAGAGAGCTTAAGCAAAGTCTAGTAAGATCTAGTAAATTTCTCCCTCCCTAGAAAATGGCACATCTGACAGAATCCTCACAGTCCCAGCCTTGCACAGACCACTATTATTTTCTCAGGATTACTTTCAGCACACACAGACCGAAGATAAACTCCAAGTCACAAATGGCGGTCATTAAAGCTCTGCTCTCATGGTAGGTTTTTGAATCTTTAAAAGCTGGCTTTGCCCAAATTTCCCTTGCTGCCCAAAAAATCTGAGTAGCCTTAAATTTGGGGGAGTCCATACGCTCATGCATATTATCGTTGACCCTGAACGGACTGTGCCCTAAACTCATGTGTATATTTAACTGGAGAGACAGCAAAGAATACTGAACATCAGATGAGCAAATTATAGAATGTACTTAGAGTTGCAGATTGTTCAAGGAACTAAACAGGACACCAGACGACGTGGCAAGTGGACGGCGCTTCAATAATAAAAAGGCACTCGAGGGAGTGTACGTTATATCAGCTTCGGTTATTTCCGACAGAATCTACCGACATGTTAATCGATTATTCATAGACCTATTCGGCCAACTCAATGTTGTACCCAATTCAAACCCTTTGGGAATAAAACGTTTTGTTTTAGGAATTTCCATATCATTTAAATGTGAATGCCACTTTATGATGCAAATATAATACACAAAGAATCTTATCCCTGGGAGATTTGAATTGGGTACAACATTGAGTTAGCCGAATAGATCTATTAAATCACCAACGTCAATGTTATCATCGTCATCATTATCATTATTGTCATTACATCATCATTATCGTCATCATCATCAGTGACTGCAATTTCGATATTTTGATAAGACATTGAAGTGCAACGGAAACATTTATTACCTTCCCATATCTTATTTCGCTCAGATTCAAATAGATGGAGTTCGTCGGAGGAGGTGAAATGTTGACCAATCCTAGTTTCGTTTCCTAAAAAAGGACAACAAAAACCTTACCTGTTATTCACATAACGAGCTGGCAATCAACTGAAACTTAAACTGAAACGACTATGATTATAGATATTACAATGAGAAAAAAATATGTATCAAGAAACAGTTTATAGAATTTTTTTAAATGCACATAACAAGGTCTCTCTCTACGTCCTGTAAGTTAATGTATTTTTTAATGTGCTTGTTATTTTGGGAGACAACTGCAAAATGGTGCGTTTCTTCATAATTCATCTTGTCGTTTTTAGAGGAAATTCTTCTTCCAAGCACTTTTTCTAAAAGAAACTATTATCCTTACAGAGCAGCTTACCTTCTCTATTTTGCTTAATAAGAACTGTTCCAACTCTTTCTCTGTTTTCATCAAAGCCTACAGGCCCCTATACAACAAAAAATACTAAATTTTATCTTAAAAGTACTGGAATCTTTAAGAAAAACTGAGGTATATTGTTATTTAAAAGTAGCTTTTGCCTGCACCAAAAACAATTTTTCTGTTTCTGTATCTTAAAAGAAAGTGTAGCATAATGCTTATTGATAAAACGCTTAATTCAAAATCTGCCGTGTTATTGTAGATTATACTTACAGTTAATCCTGCGAAGTTTATGTTTTGAATACCACTTCTTATCGCTGCAACTTGCTTGAATTTTCGGTTTAAAAGCTCCTCATATTTCATCCCTTTAGCAAAAGCGGAATCCAGTGCCATGGCTACTACCCATGCTGAATCGAAGGCGTACGCAGAGTCCTTTCTCAGATTGTTGCGCTTGTTCAGTTGCCTCATCCGCCACCAGAATCTTTCCGACGTCTTAAGAAACACGAAAAAGTAACGTTAATGTGATAATGATAACGGCNAGGAAATTCTTCTTCCAAGCACTTTTTCTAAAAGAAACTATTATCCTTACAGAGCAGCTTACCTTCTCTATTTTGCTTAATAAGAACTGTTCCAACTCTTTCTCTGTTTTCATCAAAGCCTACAGGCCCCTATACAACAAAAAATACTAAATTTTATCTTAAAAGTACTGGAATCTTTAAGAAAAACTGAGGTATATTGTTATTTAAAAGTAGCTTTTGCCTGCACCAAAAACAATTTTTCTGTTTCTGTATCTTAAAAGAAAGTGTAGCATAATGCTTATTGATAAAACGCTTAATTCAAAATCTGCCGTGTTATTGTAGATTATACTTACAGTTAATCCTGCGAAGTTTATGTTTTGAATACCACTTCTTATCGCTGCAACTTGCTTGAATTTTCGGTTTAAAAGCTCCTCATATTTCATCCCTTTAGCAAAAGCGGAATCCAGTGCCATGGCTACTACCCATGCTGAATCGAAGGCGTACGCAGAGTCCTTTCTCAGATTGTTGCGCTTGTTCAGTTGCCTCATCCGCCACCAGAATCTTTCCGACGTCTTAAGAAACACGAAAAAGTAACGTTAATGTGATAATGATAACGGCAACAACATGAAAAAAAAAATGGCGTCCCAAAACTGGTGTTTTATTGGGAAAGTTCTGCAAAGAAAGCTAGAACTTGAAAAGGTAGTCTTCTTGGTAACATTTCACCGTCCTTTGAGCGAAAAGTGTGCCAACAAAGAAACAATGCATTTATGTAACATGATGGTGTTCGTACCAGCACAATTCAACAAACAAAGCTACAGTGCCGCAAAACAAGGGAAACGTTTACGCAATATTTAATGTCCTCTATCAACGTACTAGTCAACTTACCAAGCCGGATATGGTTTGGTTATTGTCCTTACGGATGTCCAGCTTGATGGTGGAAATGTAACCATTTGCTGCCTCCTTTAGCTCGTTACTTGAACAATCACTTAAAACACTGTTTCGAAGTTTCGGGTCATCAGCGAAAATTTCTGTAGGGCTGAATTCACCAAATATTATCCAAGCATAATTCGGTCCATACATCTTCCTTTTGAAGGCCTGCATTATAAAAATTTCATGAGTTAGAGTTATATGTAACACAGCTAAATAAAAGTTTCAGTTTTTTCAGAAAAAATATAAAACATCATAGCTCTCTACTTTTTCGTTTTATACCGTTAAAAGGTCTGAGAAGGACAAAATCGTGGGCATTAACGTGAGAAATCTTGCTTTAATAGTCACATGGGTCAACTAGCTTGCGTTGCAGATAGTCTATTTCCCCGATTCAAGACCCAGATAGAGAACTAGCTAGAACTCTAGTGACAAGTCTGTCTCGGCAACGCAGGCTAGGGTCAACGAGTCATGAGTCAACTTATAAGTCAGGTCAGCATTGAACACTGAAAATAGAAATCAGGATAAAGCACATTCTCTGCTTTGTTACATTACTTACTTCACAGAAAACGTTCCTTGCACCGACGTAGCTGAACTCTCCGATAATTATTCTAGCATCCAATTTCTAATTAAAACAGAAAAAGACACCAGATTTGAGAAGAAGCTAAGAGGCAGTGGCAAGGTAGAGCCAGAAAATGCAAAAAATAACTAAAATGAATAATTGATGACTAGGAGTTTAATAACCTTGAGTTTTTCCATCTGAAAACTGACATCGCCGAGCTCTTCAAAACCTTCAATTGCAATGATGCTAATGTTGCTCTTCACAAGTTCGATCTTCAGCTTATCCACTGTCTGTGCAAAAAACAAGCAAACAAAACAATAAATAAATCAATCAGTTAGTCAGTCAATCAATGGGTCGATGTGTAGGTTTTATTTTGTTCCATCTTATGTGTCTAGTCCAAGTCTACCTTGAGAGTATTAGAGTTTAAAAGGAGAAAAAAAAAGAAGGAACGTAAGTCGGGATTATAATTAAGAACTTGGGGCAGGACGATTTTACGAGGTAGTGTTCTCAGAAGAAAAACTTGTAAAGACCAGAGGTCCAGTATAAGCTGCATGTAAATCTATACAAATCCAACGCATTTTCCTCAACTATGCCGCGCAGTTGTTGAAACTAAATGTGTATCGTTCGATGGGTCTCTGAAGAGGAGAGAATCTTCCCCCCGTAGAACCGTTGAAATGCCAATTCTACTTTCACGACACACAGTTAAAAGCAGTAGTGCACTTACTGCGGAAACTTAACGTTCACACTTACAATCGAAATTTACGTAAAACATTAAAATAAAAAATTAGTACTGTACAGGAGAAAAAAATTCTGGATCGTATTGGTGTAGTATGGCTACTCTCTTCCATCCAAAGTACTTTATGAAGGCAGCCTTTGCCTTGCTAAAGGAAGCCGAGGACGGAGCTGAACGGTACGTGTTCGGGTAAAACCGCTTGCTTTCAAATTTTGGCGAACCTGATGCATAAGAAACCTGAAAGACGGAAAGAATAAAATCTTAAATTTAGCGCCTTTTTGCTTTTGCAAGAGTGATTACCCGCAGAAACGACCGGAGCGTATGAATCCGTTCTTACAACATAAAATAACTAAAATAACCTAACCAATGATTTATAAAGAATACGACAATATATAGAGCGTCTTCATTCACATGAGCAGCATCTATGCAAATTTACTGGAATTACAAAAGAATGCGCTTGCACGAGAAAAGAAGTCAACTCGCAGAGGACTACTTTGGAACACTAACATGGCCGCCGTTTCATTGTTCTGGAACACCAATATGGTCACCGTGACGTCATCTGAAAACGCTCTAAAGCGGGATATCTGTATTGGCGTTTACATTGGCGAGCCGAAGACGAACTATTCTCGTACTCCAGCGTAATAGTGAAATGAGTCAATCAATAGAGAAATGAATAAGAAAATCCTGCTCGTTTATCTAACTGCACTCAAAGTACCCCCAAGTATCATATGGGAACATTAGAGGGAAGCATCTACTGATTAATTATTTCATTCATTTTGCCTCATCACAGACAACATTAACATCCGTGATGATAACAATAGGGCCATTTATATGAGGAAAAATAAGACGCGTCCTAAATAAGACGCGAACTTTCCGTATAAACGGCACATTTCGTCTAAAATAAGACGCGACTTTGTTTAGACGAAATGTGCCGTTTATACGGAAAGTTCGCGTCTTATGTAAGACGAGTGTTATTTTTCCTCGTAAAAATGGCCCTACTAGGGCCATTTATACGAGGAAAAATAAGACGCGTCTTACATAAGAAGCGTCTTAAATAAGACGCGAACTTTCCGTATAAACGGCACATTTCGTCTAAAATAAGACGCGGCTTAGCTAAGACGCGTCTTATTAGATAAGACATGCTCGTATAAATGGTACAGTTCGCGTCTTATTTTTCCTCGTTTAAATGGCCCTAAAAAAGTTGATGTCCAAACCTGAACCAGGTTCCATAGTTTTGCCGACTCTGCAACGGGTTCCAGGGCAGCTGTGTTGGATGGTCCAAGCAATATGACAGGTTTGTTTTCCCTGTTCAGCAGGGTAAATAATGCTCTTATGGCATATGCACCACTAGCCTTAAAAAACAACAGAAGGAAATAAATTAACACACGAAGTTGGGACAAACTTCCGTCACATGTGGAGAATCTACTTATGGACGTATTTTATGTTGTAATAACGGAGCCACGTTATGATCATTTGCCATTCACATCGAATTCTCCTTAAAAGTTATCTATATACAAAGAACGGCTAAAAACAGAAGCCCTTATCCTCCCAACATCAGAATTTTTCATTTTAAAAAAGAAAATGAGAGATGTTTTCGTAGCGTCAAAATTCCCGCTGCTGTAAAATTAGTTTTAAGAGAAAGAAAGATGTTAAAGCAGATGTAAGCAACTTATAAAACAAAGCTGGAACAAAACATAACATGAAAGCAAATTGTCGGTTCTGTGTTGTCTGTTTTTCGATTCGTTAAAAAATATGTAGGATGTGTTTTTTAGCTGTCTTCGTAGCATTACTTTGTGCAGTGAATTTAAGAATGTTAAAAATAGGAAACGTCTAAAACATGCAAAAAGAAGCGCCTAATACCTTATGATTCGAAAATTATTTGTCTGAACAGTATTTCTTATGAACATGCGAAATAGGCTTATTTACTTTTTTCTAAGCTTGCGAGCGGGCGGAATCCTCCAAATCCTGCAATCTGATTGGTTTCGAGAGCGGGCAGTTTTTTACAGGTTCCTTGCGGTTCATCACCAGTCACTCGTTTCGCGCTCGCCTCTGCCATGCAAAAAACGAAGCACCTGAGGAGGAGGCTGTCTTGCCCGCTAACCCGGGCGGAATCGTTGGCAGCTTCATTCACACTGCCAGTTTGTTTGTTGTTGCGAATGAGCAAAACTGGTGATTCAGAACCATTTTTCTTTTAAAACTTGCGCTATTATTAGCGTTAGCTAGGGAAAAGTGAATTTTGTTATTCAGACAAAACATCTGAAGGGAGAATCGAGTAAGTCAGCCAGGAAAACCGCTAAAGTAAAGCACAACAGGTCTCAGGTGGCTCGTGATGTCGCTTCACTAGTTTTATAACCTACGCTGTAAGTACTACAATCTTGCTGTTTTCCATTTTGGCTGTCTAAATCTAGATTCTGCCGTTTTTCATCGAATTATACCCCGCTAGTTTTCTACTTTTCAGGAAAGGATTGCATGTAGCTTTCAATCTTGAATGAACAACACGAACAACTTTTCCAGCAGTCGGTTATCGCCGTTTTTATTTCTTTGTTTATATACTTGTTTAGTTACCCACATCGACTTCTTTTATTCGAATTCACTTTAAAACCCTAAGATTAGTATCTGTAAGTAGCTCTTTTTATAAAGCCTTTGTGCAGTTTTAATCCCGTTCGATTTAATTAATCTTAAAGCAAACATTCAGTCGAAGAAAATCTTTGATGTATTTTCTTTCTTGTGGCTTTTAATTTCGTCAATTCTTTTATCCTTGTTTGACACTCAGATTATGAATAGTCTAGCAGGACACAAAAACCTTTCTTTATTCTAAAAGACAGCTTAAGTTGGAATAATATAAATTACAAGTTAAAAATCATGTTGTAATGTTTTGTTTTGGTTTGCAATCGATCGCGCGCTTTGAATAACATCAACACGAACGCGCCCTTCTTCAACACACATAGGTTGGAGGCTGAAGTAAAAAGTTTAGTTCGTCACATGTGAAGATCGACGTTTGTCCCAGAGACAATCAGACGTTCTATCCGTCTGAAGCAGACCGATAAAACGTGTTAGACGATCCAAACTTAACTGAGCCAGACATGAACTTAAATCATTAGCCGGTGGTTTTTTGTACACCAGCTTTATTCATCAAGAGAATCAAGAGAAAATTGAAAAGAAATCGCAGATGCTATTTAAAATATCAAAATTAGAGAGCCATGATCTCTTGATCGAAAGTGGGACAATGTTTTTGTTGCATTTCAGTCAGCAAGAAGAGAGTTGAAAATGCGAGTTGAAGCGGAGTACTTAAGACCTTCGAGGTGTAATATTTTGCACAATGAAAACTGGTACTTGATATAGTTTTTATACCAACGTCACTTTTGGAGAGAAAAAGACCTCTTTAACTTTTATGTTTCATTTTCCAAATAAAGGTCTCAGGGGAATTTTCCCCTTGGTCTTTTAATATGCACGTAAATAAGATAAAATTGGAAAGAAGCATTTGGTCACAGTTCTCTGGAGTATTATCACATGACGGGAAACAATAGATAAGGGAGCAAAATAGGAGATTTTCATCAGGTATCCAAACGCGTGACGTTGAATGATTTATTTTGTCCTTTTATTAATGCCTTTATTACCATACTGAAAAATACATTATACTAGTCTTTTATCCTATAATGTCCATTGTTGGTTTAAGGACATTTAACTGTGACTGGAAACGTCAAAAACGAGGAGCTGCAAAAATCCGTTTTCCTTTGAACAATTCAAAACAACTTCAGTCTACTATTGCTGGTTCACAGCTGACGTTAAGGCAGCCATGTTGGCCCTTTTAATCTCGAGTGCTTACCATTTGTACGGAAACTTTGGTTAAAATTTTAAGTCAAATGGTATTGGTATGTTTTTCGCACCGAAAACAGTAATTGGATTGAGTTTTACCATTTAAAAGATATCAAATACCAGCAAATTTTTCGTTTTCTCGTGAGCGGAATCCTGGATCCGATAATCCAATCAAATGGTAGAGAAAACTTCGATCGTTCCGCTAAAAGCGTGAAAAAGGTAATACTTCGGAAGGTATCACCTTTTTTCCATAGGGATGCGAAGTCCCTCCGGAATTACCGGACTTTCCGTACAAATGGTAAGCGCTCTTCTTGTTCTTCCCCACAAAAAGGCTTGAGAAGTAGTTGTTAATTCCGTCCTACAAGACCGACCTATCAAAATTATCCTCAGTGAAGTGATTCAAATCAGTAAAGTACTATGCACTTACCCAAATTGTATCTTCAGAGTCCAACACCAGAGTGTAATTACCTAGAATATCACTTCGATTGTTTATTATATCAATGGCCATTTTCATCGCTGTAAAATGTCCGTATCTGTCATCTTTCAAGAATGGAACAAATGCTCCAATGTGAATTTTTCTTTTTTCCTGCACAGCAAAAGCAGAACTATAATTTTGTCGACAAGAATGCATCTCAGTGACATTAAAACATGTTCGGCTTTGTGTGTCATTTTGAGAACAGTTGTTGAATTTCCACGCAACGTGTACGCTATTTTCTTTTATAGTGTTATTCCAGCAGCGGAAGCCAGTTGAGTTGACAGTCTTTTCACAGCAGAACTGTGTATTCGTTCCAATTTGTAAACTACAAAATATAGTTTGAACTAAAATTGCAAAGCATGTTAAACCAGAAGAGACCCTTGTTGACTTCTTGAACTTCATCTCTGGGGAATAAAAAACAACAAACAAGTTTAATGTACGTAGGAAGTAATCTGGCATTTCAAACGACAGACAATATTTCAAATGCAACTTTTATAATCAAAGCTGACAACACTTCTGTACTTTATTACACAGAGCATAACGACCTTTTCATGTTGTTAGGATCCAATGTAGGAAACCTTTTCTATTGGCTCAACTCTATTGAGATGATTTTGAGAACTTGCATTTAATTTGTTTATCTCCGCTTTAAAGCAAAAATAAAGGAAATCTTATTTCACAGTTAAAAGCTCTTTCCCCCTTAAAATACAAAATATATAAGTATTGCATTTGTTTCTGTTTTATCATGCGACTATGATGAAATTTGACTTTGTCAGATTTTGCTCTTCTGCTGTGGTCTATAAAAAAGTAACAAATCTTTCCATTAAGATTAACGAAGACAAGGCGTTGTGTAATTTATTGCTTTTTGAACCGATACTTAAGCTCGCAGTGAACTAGGCGCATTTACCTACTTTGCCGCTCTCTGTAAACGCTTAACTTCTTTTTTGTTGGAAAATTAAAACTGTTTTTAATTTTGATTTTAAGTTTCAAATTAATATCCGTTCGGAACATCTATATGGTTGGAAACGATCGCCATCATGGTTACCCAGTAAAGACTTCAGGGTTTCATGAAATTTAGTTTTCCAAAAAAAAAAACCTAAAAACAAAATAAGTAAAAAGCTATAATGTTGATTCAGTCTCCAGAAGCTTATACCAAACAGAGAAAATAAAAGTTTCTAAAAAGAACAGATCTCCATCGGGAATAGATTAATTTCAAAACTAATGGTAATTTATGACTTCCGTGAGTGTACGTGATTTAGTAGTTTGTGATAAGTAACTTTGTTTTATCAGGCTGGAAGTGCCGGAGGTTTGTATCTAGGAAGGTTAACGTCTTGGGCCGAACGCATGAAGACACCGGATACGAGTTTTTTAAGAAAAGGCCTACAACACAAAGACGATCTGGTTTTAACGACGTCTTAGTCAACGCCGCAGCTTTGATATTTATTTTACCACCTACTCAATGGGATTTTTTGAAATGTTTTTCGCAGCTTTAATGGACTATAATTGACAGGAATATTCTCAAAATATGCCCGCGTCAAGCTTTTGACGACGAAAAACAAAGGGTACGCTGGATGATTAAAATTTGTCGGTTAGAACTCGTAGAACTTTTTCCTTTCGTAACACGAGACATGAAAGTTTGTACTCCGGACATTTAGACTGATGAGATCCATGCTCGATACTAACAGAGCTAATACGCAGATGATTGGCAGGCCTTCAAATCTATCCTCCTTAACTCCGAGTCATACCAGTAAAGACGTCATTTTGATGGATCCCCCTTTGGAAAACAATCAACAGTTGCATTCCATCTAAAAACAGGAACTTAAGTGTACAGTGAAGAGTCTAAAGACTCTGACCTGGTGTCTGACGAAATTAACCTGTTTTCTCTTCTGCAGGAAGAACTTCCCTGAAGGCGCCCCACATTTCGACACATATCAACGACAGCAACCCTAGCCATACAAGGTGGAAGTTCACCCGTGTAAACAATCAATTTTACTCCAGTTAGCTGCACGTGATATCATCTGATAATGCGTTCTCCGGTTCATGACAAATTCAGTATATTTGTCAGTAAGCTATTTGCGAGGTCTTATGGTCTATATTCAGCAGCACTTGTTCACAATTCGTACTTATTTTCAAATCATTAGTGTTGTTACTCCAGACGTAGTTAATCGATAAAAATCGATATCGGAAATCAATCGATATCATCGATATTACTCGATTTAATTCGTCGATTATTAGTGATTGATTTCGGAAATCGATAGAAATCGAAGTCACAGAATAAATAATTTATCGATTATTATCGATTAACAAAATCGATAACCGTCGATAGTATTCAATAGTAATCAATGACAATCGATAAAAAATCATTATCGATTTCTATCATTCCTCCGCATCGAGGAGTACTCTTAATTTCCTTTCTATGCAATGTTTATTCAATGAAATCTCATTTACGCTTAGTGAGAATTCCAAGACAAGCACATAGCGTATATCACTGTCTCTTTACGGGAACGCCGTCCCGTTGCACTGACAGTTTATATGCCTGATGGGATGTCTGTGAAGTGTGACAATTAACTTCGCTTACGTGGCTGGTTGGACTTACATAAAACGTTACATAAGCGTTGTCATGAGACAACCAAAAGTTCTTCTAAGGAGAGATACCAGATGTTCTTATCCATGGCGCTGCTATGAAAATATAAAATATCAGCAAGTCCATAGCGACAAACCGTGCAGGAAACTTTTTAGCCGTAAACTGATCCTTACGACAAGGGGATAAATAAGAAAACAAAAGAATGAAGCAAAAAAAAGCAAATATATCTTTAAAAAAACTTGCCCAATATTTCGGTTTGAAAGACAAACCTTCTTCAGGGGCTAAAAGAAAAAGAAGATAAAACTAAAAGTTCGTTACAAATAAGAGTTTGAAAATAGCTCCTGAAGAAGGTTCGTCATTCAAATCGAAAATAATAATTTTTTGTTTTATTCTTTTGTTTACTTCTTCATCGCCTTGTCGTAACGATCAGTTTGCGGTTAAAAAATTNAAATATATCTTTAAAAAAACTTGCCCAATATTTCGGTTTGAAAGACAAACCTTCTTCAGGGGCTAAAAGAAAAAGAAGATAAAACTAAAAGTTCGTTACAAATAAGAGTTTGAAAATAGCTCCTGAAGAAGGTTCGTCATTCAAATCGAAAATAATAATTTTTTGTTTTATTCTTTTGTTTACTTCTTTATCGCCTTGTCGTAACGATCAGTTTGCGGTTAAAAAATTTTCTGTACGCTTTGTCGCTGTGGACAGTATATTTTTATACGTTTTTTTCCATGATATTTGTGAGAGGTGAAACTAAAGCGAGCCATTTCAATGATTCAGTGATTCCATGATTCATTTAACTTCAATGTTTTGGATGGGAATAATGTAATATATGTTAAATTTTGAAAAAAAAAGGCATTCGTTTAAGCTGATTATGTACTAGGTAATTTCAACCTATAATGCAGATACAGATTTGTCTAAAACTACATCTGACTTTAAAACATTTATGAAAGATAAGTTGCTAAGAATATTGCTCTGATCACATGACCTTTGCGAGTTATTAAAAAATATCTACCCAGTGTCACGTGGCTGCCGTATCTACAGGTAGAGTAAGTAAAAAACAATTTTTATTTATAAGCTAGCCACCTTACCGTTTTACCGAGTTTTCTATTCACATGAACTCACAGTTTGTAATAGGCTTTCAAGACGTAGCAAACCATTTCGTCTTTGCACAAGTACAACATTTTGTGTCGCCGATATTTTTCCGTCAGTGGATTTGGAACAATGTTATTGACGTATTTGTTTTGAGTTTTTCCATTACATATATATTGTTTTTAAATAAACAACATATCCTTTTCAAGTCTCAGCCCTGAGGCTTTCCATTTAGTTGAGAAAACCAGGAAAACGAGTCGCGTTTTTCTAATAGCGTAACACCCAAAGAACAAATGTCAGAATCTCATCATTTTCTCGAAACAAAATGGTCTCAGCAATATGTTATCGAAAAAACAGAGTAACAAATTTGATTTTATTCAGATTTTAAAGCTTTTAAGTTTAAGTTTTTAAATCCTCTCATCTTGCTGGCGAGAAGGGTCTCGAAGGGCGAGAATTTTGACAGGAAGTTGTTCTTAGTCCTTCCTGAAAATTTACTTAAGCTAAAGGCGTATTCATGACATTACTAAAAAAGGAAAAACGTCTAAAAGATCCTTTTTGCTCAAATTTGCTCGATAAAAGCGACAATTCCAAAGATGCATGACTATTCAAGTAGAAGTGTTTCAACTTTTTCTTTGGAAACTTATTACTAAGAACAGCTTCATTGTTTCTTGAAATCGGGTAAAAAATAGCGGATTTGCTTGCAACATGTGTTTTCACACATTTAGAAGCATGCGACTAGTTTTTTAAGCTTCTATGATTTACATCTGTCATACAAATACTTCCGTTGCATTGCATTTCTATGATCTTCATGCTAGTGAAATCAACAGTTTTGTTTGATCATTGCTAAGCCTTTTGTCTTTGAAGTTAAAGTTTTGCCGACAAGGCTTTCTTTTTATTTAAGCCTCAAGCTCTTAGAAGACGTGACTCAAATGAGGAAAATATGCTAGTGAAATCAACAGTTTTGTTTGATCATTGCTAAGCCTTTTGTCTTTGAAGTTAAAGTTTTGCCGACAAGGCTTTCTTTTTATTTAAGCCTCAAGCTCTTAGAAGACGTGACTCAAATGAGGAAAATGTCCCGCGGACATGATCGAAACTGTGGACGTGTCAGTAAAATGGCGCAATAGTCAGTGGATGTGAAATTCAATACTTTATGTGCGTAGTCCACATATTCTAATATTATTGAAAAAAACAGTTTTTTTTGGCCGTCTTTGAAAAAAAAAAAACAAGAAAAAACAAACAAACAAACAAACCGAACTACTAGAATCTTAAAGCCGAGAGAAATGATGCTCTCTGAAGGGGTTGTCAAAGAGAAGTTTGCAAACACTAACATCGATTGCATTCTTTTTAGGTTGAGTTACCAGATTGTAAATCTCAGCAGTTTGTTTTTATTGTAGTTTTTATTTTTAGGTATTAGAAAAATAGTATCGTCTTCACCTTATCTCGTTTGCTCACGTAGAATATCTATATACCAATATTAAACTTTAAGATACATCCAGCTTTCGTTTTTCTTTTGAAATTGCCGTTTTCTTAACATATATCATATTCACATATAAAACTTACTTCAATCATAGCTTTTTGAGTCGAGTCAGAAGGGTTAAACTAATGCTATCACAACATCTCAAATAAATAGCTCCTTGTAACAGCCAATCTCTGCCGTCTTTGTTTAGTGAGGAGCAATTTTTACTTTAAAACTTTTGTAGCAAAGGAGCAAATTTATAAAGTTGTTATATTTAGTCTCTAATAATTTAAAGGTTTATTTATCAACACTATAACAATTATAACAAATACTGT